AAATTCTATAAGGATTAACTTATTGAAAGCTTTCTTGGTTTCAAATCACTGATTATTCTGTTTCAATATAAAGATACAAAATATCTATAAATATCTCCTAAATTTTGATTACATTTTCCTAATTTTTTTTTTTTTTTAAGTTGGCAAGTCTGCAATTAATTTGAAATATATTTCAAGTTACAAATTTTCCTTGGGTGCGAGTCAAATATTCCTAATACAACATGGGCCAGGCCAAACTGATGACCTCACTATAATTTAAAAATATTTACGTGAGCTCTAATTCCTCTTGACATATAGGAATTTATACAGATTTAAGTCTTAGCATTCCATTTTTTAGCATTGAACAGCAACACAGGTGACAGTTTGTTTCCCTATGGGGTAAAGGTTTTGATTCAAAACCAAAAGTTAGTCTTGTTCCAGGCTACCAGAACAATGCCCATTGCAGGGCTCCTATGCAGTGAGCAGAAGACCAACAAAGAGGATCAGAGACTTATTTTTACTTCTACTTTATGAGCCAGGAAAGCAGCCTGCCATGTGAGTGTCATTCTATGGGCTCTGTTGTCTGTAGATAATACCCATTCTCTTATGTCCCCCTTGAAATACCCATGGGGGAGGGAGGGGGAAGAGGGGATATGATAGAAAGAATACAATCAATTTTGTAAGAGAACTTTAAAATCAGCTTGGCAGGGAGATGACTTCAAATGGTTTGCCACTTCAGCCCCTGCAGAAGACAAATTGTTGGTGTGCTAGAAGAGCTGAGCTTCTCATGACAGCATATGTACCTTAATCTACAGATCCCCCATACTCATATTCTGTTTCTACCTGTACGTGGTAAACTTAATCTTGTCAACCACGAGTTTATTCTTTCTACATTTGAGGCCCAAATCAATGAAGTCTAAAATGTATTCATTCCATATAAAAAAAGGACTTTGGTTAAATTTTACTGCAATACCACAACCAACCATTACAGAGGCACATGCACGCCACTGACTGACAAATGCATAAACATAGGCTGAGCCAAACTAAGCAGCTTATAGACAATGTTCCAAAAAGATAAACAAGCTTATTAACATATCTGTTCTGTAAGTTACAGCTTAGCTGCAGATTTAAACTCTATGGTACAAGACCATGATTTAAGAGCCTATATTCCTCTGAACCCTCAGCATCAGCTTCCTATAATGACATGATTATTGAATGTTTCCACAAAGAGCAGTAGAAGCCAGGAGAGACCAAGGTTTTATTTTAAATTGCACAGTAAAAATGGCAAGTGATAGGTTATGGGTTTTATTAGACTAACTGAAGAGAAATGTCATCTTTTTTTTTTTATCCTAAGCTTTGGTTATTTTTATTTCTGTTTTATTTAAATTTGCTTGTATTAGCCCCCCCTCTTTTTCTACAAGATTACTACTAAATAAGAAAACTGCTGTTTTAGGACACACTGAAATTGGAACGTTAATTCATCTCCCTATGAAACCTGGGAAAAAGCCAATGCAAGTCTTGAACTTTATCATGAGAAACCCTTGGCACCCACTAATCACAAGATTGCATCTTCACATAAGATAAGGGGAAGATTTTTGGCATGGGAATGAACACATACACCTAGTTGTTTGCAAAGGCTTGCAACCTGGCAGCCTTTCAGTAAGGTTTCACTCACATAGCTGTTACTGTATACTCTCCAGCTATGGCTGGGAAGTTGATAATCCTTAAGATATGAGGAGAGTTTTGATTTCTGACACAGCATTCCTGAGATAAATGCAGGATCAGAGAGATGCTTTGAAATTCCCAGAGATACCCCACTGGTAAACTGCTACATGGGAACAACTTTTAACAAAGTGTCTTTAAAAAGGGGGGAAAAAAAAGTTAACTCACAGAACTTGTGTTTGCCATCAAACAACATATTAAATGTGAACCAGACATAGAAAATAAGAGAGCATCCCAAAGCCTGTTTTCCCAAACTTTCCCAATGTACCTTAGTATTTTGTCTACCTCAGAGATAAGAGCTACTATTTCCAACTCTATTTCAGTTTCTTGTAAAAAGGTTTTTCTTTCCCTGGTACAATTCCTTTCCACTGTTGTCACTAGGTGTCATTTCAGAGCATAAACTTGCATTTTAAGCAGAATCACACTATATAGTCATCTTCAAGTGATCATGAAACATTCCTGTCTATATAATTTTAAATATCAATATTTCATATACACAGTTATTCTATCTTTTTGATTAACTGATTTATTAGCTAGTTAGCAACATGCCTTATCATAGATCAACGTATTTACCATAGATGCAAGATTGTGCATGTCACTATCAGATGATAATTGACTAGAAGTAAGACTTCTACATCATTAAGTACACTTTTGTCTACCTGACATACCCACAAAAGGAAATGAAAAATTAAGCCACCTAGAAACACAGAGCTGCTGACATACCGAGGTCACGTGCAACTGCTGAAGGACAAAATATTTTATACTAGTTCATGACCTTTTCCTCACATATTTAGCCCCACCCACTAAACACAAAAAGTCATAGGAAACTAATATCCACAAGTTACCACTGTGGAGCCGTCCAGATAGCTGCATAAACCCCTACAAAACCCCTTGCCCTCTGCTCTTCCATTCACAAGCGTGGTGCTGCCTACTGCTTCAGTCCATGCACTCCTTTCACTCCTCTGTATATATTCCTTCACCAGACTAGCTTCCTTTCAGTATCTGATATACTAATTAGGTCTCAAGGCTAAGTGAGAGAATGTTGAGAGTTGTGGTTACAAATGGCTGGCACTTCAGAGGTGGGAAAAGGAGAGATGAGTCCATCTGGGACAGTGTGGCACTGAAAAAGTAAAAGGGCAAAACAGCAAGTAGTTCAACTTTTCAGTGGCTTGCTTTACAAAACACACTGCGATTTAAGGGTTTTTTTTGTTATTTGAGTGACTTTGTAGCTATACAGAAAAAAGAACACAGAATTGCAAGTGACTGAATGGCTGCTACTAACACCCAATATTTCATTAGTGTACATGTTATCAAATTAAATTGCATGGTTTCCTCTGATAAGAAGGTTTTGTAGGCATAATCTACCTATGTCAGATATCGGGACTGCAAGTGCCCAAGTACTTCCTGACTAGTTAACCTGCTTTACACCAATTCAAATCAGATTTGCACAGGCAGCACAAATCTTTAGCCTTAGCAATAGCTAAAAAATAATTCCTAAATGCAACATACACTTCCATACCAGATCTCCAGACAAATGTTATTTGTGGTTCAAATTTCTACCACTCAGCAATGAACAATAAGAATTTCCTGAGGAAAAACATCAGTCACAGACTAAAACACTATGCTATTTCACATCAACTGCCCACTTGCTGTAAGAAGCAATGATAGGCCTCAATGGGGAAGTGCTAAAAGCACTTGGGCAGCAGCAGGGAGAGAGGCATGACAAGTTCTAATTCAGTGTCCCTCTTCTCCCAATTTTCCCCCTCTGCCTCCATCCTCCTACTGCTCCCAAAACAAGTCCTCCTGTTTAGCAGAACACAGTATTTACTTTGAGACAAGAGTAAGGGGACCAAATGCTAGCATACACCCTCTGTGTCTAATCTAGCCAGACAACTACCACCACCTCTTCCCCCACTAGTGATATGTCAATCTGAGCTGAGAAGACATGTTGTGACAGCTGCATCCATACCCCTGGTAGAGCTGCCCTCCTTTCTTGGGTCATCTAAGTTTGCTAGTTTGAGCAAGGCAGCCATAGACTGCAAAGACATCAGAGCCAGAGGAAGTGCAGGAATAAGCAGAGAATCAGATACTGGTATGGTAACAAGAGATCCCCTTGCACCAGATCGACTGAAGGATTTCTGGATATGACTAAAGCTTTCTAGAGGGGATGCAAGTGCTATGGGATTCTTGCTTTTGTTCTCTGTTGTCTTTGTTGTGTTTGGGAATCCTGGAGAGGTAAAAGTCAGTAAGTGTAGTAAAAGACAATGTGGTCTGCTATACTTGGGAAAAGATAACGAGCTAATGAGACTGAGATGTAGGGGAAACTGAAATTATTATCAGGAAAGAGGGACTTCAATCTAAAAG